CCCGGTCCGGGCCCGTCAGCCCCAGCTCCCGGCCCTGGGCCGACCCTGCTGGCCCCTGAGGTCACGACGGACTCGCTCGTCCACCCCTGCGGTGGCCCGCCAGGCCCCGCACGTGAGCCCAGGAGCCTGATGTCGTTTCCCAGACGAGCCCCGCTGTGGCTGCACTGGGCAGGGCCAGGGCCGGAGGCGCGGTGCCGCCGTGGGTGGCGGTCTTTCCCAGGCAGGCCGGGCCGTTCGCAGTGGGAACAGGCTCGGCAGAGGCGGGAGCCCCAGCGGGGCCAGCAGCCCGAGGCCTGCCTGCGCCAGGAAGAGAGGCGAGGGTTCCCGCGCCCCCCGGCTCCTTGCCTTGCCCGCCGCTTTGTGACGTGCACACCCCCGGGAAAGGGAACATGGCCACCGGGGCTTGGGCTGCTGGGGGGTCCCGCGGTGTCTCCCTGGGCTCTGAAGTGCCCACGTGTCCTCGTACATCAGTCTCCGTGCACGCCAGCCCCAGGTGTGCGCGCGTGTGTGGTGTGCGTGGCTTGGGGCGTGTCAGCGCAGGCCTTGCCTCCTGGGGCCCCTCCCCACCTGGCCAGTGTGCATCCCTGCCCCCAGGCGGAGTGCATCCCACTCACCTGGCAGAGAGTGATGTGCGTTCACCTCCAGGCCGCTGTGACTGTGGAGAGGTGGGGGGGCACCTGGGGCTGTCTCTGGGGCCATCAGTAGGAGCTGCTGGTGGCAAGGAGGGGCGCCCCCAGAACCAGGTCTCCCGTCTGCCCCCCAGCTCTGTTCCAAGACAGCCCGCAGGGCCCAGGGCTGTTCTCGGGGTGCCCTCTCTTGACCTCCCGCTCCGCCTCTGCAACTCCCTGGCTGTCAGCCCTCCCAGGATGTCCCCTGCTGGGACAGTCCTCACACTACAGGGCTTCTCTGCCCCGTCCACCCCTCACCTCAGCCCGTGGCTCAGACAGGCCCAGAGTGTACTCTTGGCATCCTGGGCACAAGGTGGGACCCCTGTTCTGACTGTCAGGACTGCAGGGCCCGGGGACGGGCTGCAGCCGTCTTTGCAGAGCAGCACGGACCCCCGGGGACCCGGCCGGGTGCCCACTCAGCGCCTGTGCACCCAGTCTTGCTGGCTGTGACGGCCGCTGCCAGTGCTGACCCTGCTCGCGGAGGTCCCCCAGTCTCCAGGCCTCCCCCTCCCCGCTTGCCCGTGATGACCCTGGCCACCGCTGGCCCTTGGGGGTCCCAGCCAGCGGGGTGCGGGGTTTACCCAGGATCTCCCGGAAATGCGGGGCTTATTTTTCTGATTAAAGAAAATAAAAAGTGCCGTGCCATTATTTTTATAACAGCATCAGCGTTTGTGATTTAACAGACGAGCGTGCATCGTACATGACGTGATTTACTGCCACCAGCGGTTTTCTGCACATCTGGACTTGCCTCGTTATCTCTGGGCAGTGGGGGAGAGGCCGGGGGCGGGTCTTGCGGCCTGGCCACGCCCCACACTGGGGCTGGGGCTGG